GGGATGAGGGTTTCTTCCTGCAGCAGCCTTCCTTCTGGCTCTGCCCTCTGGGAAGAAGAACAGCTTTTCCTGCCGCTCCAGGTCTTTTATTCCAAGCCCTCCTCTTTTCCTATTGGTCAATTTTGGCTCCAAGACCTCTCAGGGGCTTCTGGGAGTTGTAGGCCCAGCCTCACCTACTGCTCTCCAGGCTCCCTGGGCCTAGTAGGCCTCTGGTGGCACAGCCCAGATCATGACAGCCCCCAATAGCCCCATCACAACTACGGGCCAGGGAGACCTCCAAGGAATACCAGGGCTGTGACGCAGAGACAGGCAACGGCAAGCCACCTCTGGACATCCCTTGCCTTCAAGCCCCACCAGGAGTCGCCAGACGTCAGCTTGACTTGATGGCAAAAAAAAGAGAGAGATCGGCCTGGGCCCACGTGGCAGCCATTTTGTGGCTGGCCACCCCATCCCTGCCTCGACAGCCGTTTTACGGTGGGCCCCACTACAGGTTCGCTCAAAATCAAAAAGCACCCACGTGCTCAACACGGTTGGGGACCCCCGCTGTAGCCACTGCAGCCCACCAGCTGGCCAAAAGAGACTGGCGCAAAGAGGTCTTCCCAAATATCGTGCCCCATCCCGGGCGGACGCTCAGTTTGCCAACGCAAAAACACCCTGCCATCCGTTAACATAAGAACATAAGAGACGCCAATTGCCATCCGTTCCCGCAACCCCCTTCATTCCAAGCTCTTCTGCCGGCAGCTTGCGCTCGTCCGCTGGACATTTCATGCATGACGCACCAACTAAGCATGCCTTTAATTGCTTGATGTCCCTAATTATAACGCGAGGCAGCCTTCGGCGTGCTCGAGTGGAAATTATGGCCCGTGGAGCTTAGTCTGGGCTGCTATTAATAAAAACTCAAGGAAGTCCGAGAGCAGGACGTCTGCTCAGCGGGCTTTCTGGGCTTGCAGCAGGGGGGCTACGTGGGAAGGGGGGGACCAATCCTTGGCACAAACGGGCCTGGGCTATGGGGAGTTCTGGGGATTGCATAAGCTAGTCAGACGAGGGCCTACACTGGCTGTAGGAAGGGCAGCTGCCCTTTGGGGAGCCACCCTTTGGGGAATGCCCTTTGGGGAGCCACCCTTTGGGGAATACTCTTTGGGGAGCCGCCCTTTGGGGAATATTCTTTGGGGAGCCACCCTTTGGGGAATGCTCTTTGGGGAATGCCCTTTGGGGAATGCTCTTTGGGGAGCCATTCTTTTGGGAATGCCCTTTTCGGAGCCACCCTTTTGGGAATACCCTTTGGGGTTGCCCACCTTTTCTGCCACTGCACAATGAACATGAGGACGGGATCTACCTGGCAACCCAGCTCTCTCCAGAGAGCCTCACGTGACCCATGGGGAGCCCCCGTCCCTGTTGCGATGGGGCAGAACACCCCCCACCCCCACTCACAACGTGCTGGAAGCCAGGTTGGTGTCCTCGTGCTTCAGCTTGCCGTCCAAGGCCAGGCCGCGCTTTTCCCGGTTGCTGGCGAGGAACGGGGTCAGCGTGTAGACCTTGCAGAACGTTGAACTCGGCGCCACCACATCGCTGGGGAATAAGGGGACAGGTCAGTGAGAGAGCAGCCAGAGGCAAATCTGAAGTTTGGACCTTCACCGGGAAGGGAGAGATCCCACCCTCCTTTCCTCTGCCATGTCGGTCAGAGTGTTCGCAAAACCCAAACTGGGAAATCTTCACGTGGCTGTGTGGTTGGCTCAATCTCCCACTAAAACCGTCTTGTGATTGGCTCCACCTCCCATGGCTGCCATTTTGGGGTAGGTGAGGTAGGTGGGGCTGAGAGAGCTCTCTTGAGAACTGGTCTTGAGAGAACAGCCCTGAGAGAACTGACCCAATGTCATACCAGCAGCTGCATGTGGAGCAGTGGGGCACTCAAACCCAGTTCTCTCAGCTCTGAAAGAACTTGTGACTGACCCAGGGTCACACCAGCAGCTGCATGTGGAGCAGTGGGGCACTCAAACCCAGTTCTCTCAGCTCTGAGAGAACTTGTGACTGACCCAAGGTCACACCAGCAGCTGCATGTGGAGCAGTGGGGGAATCAAACCCGGTTCTCCTAGCTCTGAAAGAACTTGTGACTGACCCAGGGTCACACCAGCAGCTGCATGTGGAGTAGTGGGGGAATCAAACCTGGTTCTCCCAGCTCTGAAAGAACTTGCGACTGACCCAAGGTCACACCAGCAGCTGCCTGTGGAGGAGTGGGGGAATCAAACCCAGTTCTCCCAGCTCTGGAGTGGGGGAATCAAACCCAGTTCTCCCAGCTCTGGGAGAACTTGTGACTGACCCAAGGTCACACCAGCAGCTGCATGTGGAGCAGTGGGGGAATCAAACCCGGTTCTCCCAGATTACAGTCCACGCTCTTAACCACGACACCAAACTGGCTCTCTGCTATGAGAGCCCCTTTTATGCCCAGCCACTATGACAACCGAGCGACATCGGCTCACCCTCCCTCCCTCTGTTCTTTGTTCACTGGCAAGATTTCGACTGTCGGCTCCTCAAGGGCAGGGCTTGGCGTGTTCTACTTGTGGCGTAAAGGCAGTCGCCCCCGACGGGACGGGGCAGAAGAAATACTCACTCAGATTCCTCCACGGCAACCGGGCACTTGTACTGGGCGGTGTTGAACAGGCAGATGTCTGCGTACTGGCGCACTGGGAGTCGGAAGGAGGAGGCGGAGGGACGAAAAGAAAAAGAGAGGGGGCATTAAAGGTAAGCGATGGCAGACGACGGCAGCTATCGACAGCAGTGATGTAACAGTGCCCTGTTCCTGCCCTTCAGTGTTTCCTCTAAGCTGAGTTAGTGTGAGCCAGCTCACAGTTTTTTAGCCTCCGGCTCGCACATTTTTTGTCTTCGCTCAGGAAATATGGCTCCAGAGCCAAATAATTTATGCGGCGGCCAAATTGCTTGCTCACAACTTTAAGGCCAGTCTCTCGCCGAGTAGAATTTTTGCTCAAAAGACTCTACAGCTTAGAGGGAACGTCGCTTCTGTCCTCGACTTTGTTTTCTTTCACAGCTGTGAACAATTGCTTCTAAAAGTGATACAAATTGAGTGCCGGGAACAGCTTCGCTCCCAGACCCGTGTGAATTATGCAGATTAAGCAAACAGACAAGACTGCAGCTGCGAACGAAATCCGAGCTCGGCGGGGCCTAATTAATTATGAAAGGAACAAAACCCGGTGTCTGAGCAAAGGAACAGGTTCGAAAGGGAAAGAAAGCCTCACTTTAAAAGATGCCGGCTCAGAAGAGGCCTTCCCTCCTGGGCGTGAGAGAAGACGGAATGCCTCTCCAAATGGGGAATGCTCCTTCAGTCGGGGAATGCCTTGTCTCAGGGAGGCGCTTTCTGTGTTCTACTGATCAGAGCACTGCAATGATTTCTTGTTTTGGTGTGTGTTTTCTTTAAATGTTTAGTGTGACTGCAGTAATGTAAGGAGAGTGATAGAGGGAGACAAGTGTGATGTGATTGGCTGATGACTGGGAGTGTGGGAGGAGAGATGTCTCTGAGGTGATTCTGTGTTCTGAAAGAGACAAGTGTGGAGCGTTTTTGTGAGAGTCTGTATGACAGAGGAAGCATATAGCCTGTGTGGCTATATGAGCAAGAGAGTTCAGCCTGTGTGGCTATATGAGCACGAGAGTAGCCTGTGTGGTTATATGAGCATGAGAGTTCAGCCTGTGTGGTTATATGAGCATGAGAGTTCAGCCTGTGGGGCTATATATTTAAGAGAGAGATAAGCCTGTCAGAGTTGAGTTTTGGTGTATGAGAGACTGTGTGTGACGCCAAGCTTTGACAGTTATATTTTCTTTCTTCAAAAACAGTTCAAAAATACCCAGAAACCTATTTTGTTCTTTTATAAATAAATCATTATTTGTTTAAGCTTATCCCAGGAATCAGAACAGTCCTTCCTCAGGGCCACATAGTCCTCTGAAGCGCCCAGACACTGGGTCATTCTACCAAAACAGAGAGAGTTGGAATTTTTAATTCCTGGTGGCAGCAGAAGTCTACAAAGTTCATGAACACAGAGTGAGTTTTAAAGGAGAAACAGGACGTCACAAGCACCTTTGGAATTGAACAACCTGACCTAATGCATATATATTTTGTCAGCTCTGCTCTGCTTCTGCCGGTCAAAGGGCGAGGCAGAGAACCCTGCAGGGGGGAATGTGAAGGCAGACCTCAGTCTGACAGCCCCCTCTTTAGCACTTTAGTTTCACCAGGCATTGCCTCTCTCGCTGCCAGCTTCAGGGCTAAAAATATGCATTTTTAACACAAAAGATTAAGAAGAGCGCAGGAGCAGACCAATGAGGGACCATCTAGTCTGGCGTCTTGTCTCACACAGTGGCCGAGCATTTCCTCTGGAAGTCCAACAATAGAGCACAGAGGCTGAGCCCTTCCCCTGACGTTGTCTCTGGCTCTGGGATTCCAAGGGTGACTGCCTCTGAACATGGAGGTTCCCTTTAGTCACCATGCTAGTAGCCACGGATAGACCTATTCTCTGTGAAACTAACCCCCTTTCAAAGCCATCTGTGCCTGGGGCCATCACCACATCCACTGGCAGCGAATTCCACATTCTAATCACTCTATGTGTAAAGTGGTATTTCCTTTCGCCCATCCTGAACCTCCTGCCCGTCAGCTTCATTGGGTGCCCTCGAGGTCTAGTATCCTGGGAGAGGGTGAAAACGTTCTCTTTCTCAGCTCTCTCCAGTCCAACCTTCCCATGATGTTGACTTTTGCCCTGAACGCCAAATCTGCAAGTTGTGGTGACTTCAATCAAATCGCCCAACCTTTATCACCTTTCCCTGCTTTCTACTCTGGGATGGCTTAGCTCGAAGCCAGACAGGTTTCAAAAATGAGGCTTTCCCCCCAACATGGGAATTCATGATGATGGGGGGGGAGAGAGAGAGGGGGAGGGAGAGGGTGAGAGAGAGAGAGTGGGAGGGAGGGGGAGAGAGAAAGGGAAGGAGAGAGAGGGAGGGGGAGAGAGGGAGGGAGAGAGAGGAAAAGGGAGGGAGAGAGGGAGCGGGAGGGATAGGGAGGGAGACAGGGAGAGAGAGAGGGGGGGAGAGAGAGGAAGAGGGAGGGAGAGAGGGAGGGAGAGAGAGGAAGAGGGAGGGAGAGAGATTGCAGCAGAAAGGGCAGAGCAGAGGCATTCTGGGGGATGCTAAACTCTACTGTGGTGGCTGTTGGAGAGACCCAGTTGGGGCTCCTCAAGCTGACATTGCCACCCGCCAATTTTACCCCTAGTGAAAAGCAGCTGGCAATATGACTTTGCCAATAGTTTACCGGAATTCTTCCGTAATGTTTAACAACCTAGAGAGAGAGAGAGAGAGAGAGAGAAGCCCTTTTACCTGAGATTTTAATCTTCTTCACTGTTTTGTTGGTGTTGTTTGTTACGTGGACATTAACGTTGATCGGCTCTCCGTGGTAGTAAATCTGTACGGAGGACAAGGGGAAAATGTTCCAAGTTTCAGAATCAAGAAAGCGGGGAGGGGGGCGTCTTGGAGAGAGCGGTGGGGGGGACCCTCTGTCCTTTCCAAAGACCCCAAAGCACCCCCAGCCACCATGGAGAGAATTCTCCGCTTCTCAGAATATAGCTTAAATATGAAACTGGAGAAGGAAAGGGCTCCGCCATGAGATTCCGCTCAGGTTCAGGGTCTCCCTTAAAAAGGGCCGCTACCCTGTTCGTATAGAAATTGGAGCAGAGTGGTTTTCTGCTGCCCCAGAAGGTTGGACCAGAACCGACGGGTTGAAATTAAATCAGAAGAGTTTCCGGCTAAACATGAGGAGGAACTTCCTGACCGTTAGAGCAGTTCCTCAGTGGAACAGGCTTCCTCGGGAGGTGGCGGGCTCTCCTTCCTTGGAGGTTTTTAAGCGATGCTGATTCTGCAGGTAGGGTTTCTCACACGCCCAGGGAAATGCCAATTGCCACTTTGGGGTCAGGTAGGAATTTTCCTCCAGGCTAGATTGGTCCAGGAATCTTAGAGAGTATCTTTGCCTTCCTCTGGGCATCGAGAAAAGCAAGAAGGTCACAGTCCACAGTTCAGTAAAGCAAAACACAAAAAGGAAACTGTGCAAAAATTGCTGCAGTTTGGATCACAAAAGCCTATATTTCCATGTAATGCCGAAAGTCCATTTGTGTTTTTTTTATGGGACATACAATCAAAGAAGTCTTCACAAGGTAACGATGACGAAACTCTCCGGATTAACAATTCCCGTTTCGTAGCGCCTTCATCAAAGATCAACAACACAAAGATGTCATTCCTTATTTTTCAAAGAGCAATCCTTCCATTCTCAAAATATACAGTGTCTAATCCATGGCATAGAATAAATTCGAATACATGTTTTCACAAAGCAGGTTGTTATGATTCGTTTGCCTGCTTTGTGAAAATATGTATTAGAATTTGTGTTGCTGATCTTTGATGAAGGCGCTACGAAACGGCGCTACGAGTGCTGCTGGGGATTGAACCTGGGACCTTCTGCAAGCCAAGCAGTGGCTCTGCCACTGAGCCACAGCCCCTCTCCATGACACTCCAGGGTCTCATCACCTCCTGCCTGGTCCTTTAAACTGGAGATGCCGGGGATTGAACCTGGGACCTTCCGCATGCCAAGCAGAGGCTCCGCCACTGAGCCACGGCCCCTCTCCATGGCTCTCCAGGGTCTCAGGCAGAGGTCTTTCCCATCACCTGCTGCCTGGTCCTTTTAACTGGTCCTTTTAACTGGAGATGCCAGGGACTGAACCTGGGACCTTCCGCATGCCAAGCAGACCCTCTTCCACTGGGCCACAGCCCCTCTTTACAGCTCTCCAGGGTCTCAGGCAGAGGTCTTTCCCATCACCTGCTGCCTGGTCCTTTTAACTGGAGGTGCCGGGGATTGAACCAGGGACCTTCTGCATGCCAAGCAGAGGCTCTTCCAATGAGCCACGGCCCCTCCCCATGAAGCTGCCTTCTACTGAATCGTACCCTCGTTCCATCAAAGCCAGTTTTGTCTATGCAGACTGGCAGTTGCTCTCCAGGCGGAGGTCTTTCCCATCACCTCCTGCCTGGTCCTTCCAACTGGAGATGCCGGGGATTGAACCTGGGACCTTCCGCATGCCAAGCAGAGGCTCCACCACTGAGCCACAGCCCCTTCACAGCCTGCGGAGCCCCAGAATTGCCTGTCCTTGCTCCAAATTTCCCAGCCAACCAGGATACCTCCTTGTCCAGGGATGCCTCCAGGTGCAGGGGTTTGTCCGACATGAGGAACTGCCTGGTGGTCTCTGCCATGGGCTGGGGTCCCGGCCGCTCCGGTGCATACTGGACTTTGCGGATCACCAAGCGCACGGAGTTCCTGTAGGAGCACGGAGAATTAGATTGTGGCTGGTCTGCAGACATCGGTACTTCACGCTGGAGCCAGTTCCACTATGGCCGAGGAGCTGCCAAGTCCCCCAAGGGAGGCTGGGAATTGTAGTTTCAGGGAATAGTGGAACAAAGGCTTTCTTCAAAAGCTGGAATCACCTTCACAACACACAACATGCCCTGTGGGAAGAGACCCAAGACTGATCTCATCCAGCATGCTCCTCTGTGTGAGGGCCAACTACATGCACATGAAGACTCACAATGTATCCATCCATCTATCCATCCATCCTTCCATCTATCCATCCATCATCTATATAATCTATCTCTCTGTCTATGTATCATCTATCTATCTCTCTGTCTATGTATCATCTATCTATCTCTCTGTCTATGTATCATCTATCTATCTCTCTGTCTATGTATCATCTATCTATCTCTCTGTCTATGTATCATCTATCTATCTCTCTGTCTATGTATCATCTATCTATCTCTCTGTCTATGTATCATCTATCTATCTACCATCTATCTATCTACCATCTATCTATCTATCTATCTATCTATCTATCTGTCTGTCTGTCTGTCTGTCTGTCTGTCTGTCTATCATCTGTCTGTCTATCTATCTATGTATCATCTATCTGTCTGTCTGTCTATGTATCCTCTATCAATCTATCATCTATCTATCTACCTATCTATCTACAGGTCTGTCTGTCTGTCTGTCTATCTACCTATCCATCTATCTATCTCCCACCTATCCATCGATCTATTCTCCATCTATCCATCTATCTGCCATCCATCCATCCATCCATCCATCCATCCATCCATCCATCCATCCATCCATCTATCATCTATTACTGCTCATAAGGCTATCACCTTAAGCAGAAATTAGAACCAAAAAAAATTAAAAAGACCTTATTCAGTTATTATTTTTCTTATAATTGATTACTGAGCCTATGACTTTTGCCACTGAGAGGGTGACACAATCATTCGTGTCCAAGAATACCCATGACACCTGGGCTCGCACATTTAGCAATTCCGTATCTTTAAGTAAAGGGGTGACTAAATTACCCCTCCATTCGTTGAATACAGGGCACTGCATAATCAGGTGTTCGATGGTTTCGTTTCTAATATATGAGCATCTGCGTGTTCTATCAGAGCTTGATACTCTATTCTATCTGCCCTCCAAAACCGCCGAGGGTAGAGCGTTCAGTCTTGCCAAAATAAAAGCGCTTCTTCGTTTTGGGACTGTCAATTGATAAAAGATATTTCGGCAGTTGCATCGGGAGGGCAATTCCCAAATGCGGGGCAGGGATCTATCTCGAGCAGGGGTCTCTGACATGGTGCCCGCTGACACCATTCCTGGTGCCCACCAAGTGTTTTTAGAAAGCGGGCAGGACCTGTGCCCAGCAAGGCTTCTGACTGGCCACTGGAGTTTTGATCAGCCCATGTTGCTTTGGCCAAAGCTCCCACCACAGCATGAGGATCTCCACTGTGTGACTGAAGGGAAGCTGCGGCAGCCATTTTGTGACTGGCTCCGCCCCCCCCGGAGGCAGCCATTTTGCTGCACCCAACAATCTGTGTCAGAATCCCACAGGTGACCCTGGGGGGGGGCTAAAAAAGGTTGGGGACCCCGATCCAGTATGTTTTCATCTCGCCCTGCCTCCTATGAAGGTCTCCTGCCTCATTTTAACCTCAGAACAACCCAGAGCATAAAATGTTACCCGGGAAGCTTCGTAGAAAGGGGGGCGCATTGGGATTCAGGTCTCCCAGACTTCAGCCTAAAATTCGAGCCCGATACCACCTAGCGTGATGGTAAGGGTCACAAACTGGATCATTTCGTTCTGCTCAGCCTAGAGGAAGTCGACAAACGGCTCCTAACTGTCCGCCCTACCACGTGCTCCCTTGATCCGTAATTAAAGCTGGCCACGAGGGATTTCGAGGCGCCTTGTGGGAGAATATCAACAAGTTCCTCTCAGAGGGACTGCCCCCCAAGGCACTTAAGGAAGCAGTGGTCCGCCCCCTCTTAAGAAAAGCCATCTTTGGACCCGGCCGCATTGGCCAACTACCGGCCGGTTTCTAACTTGCCCTATCTGGGCAAGGTGATAGAGAGGGTGGTGGCAGTTCAGTTTACAGGGCTTTTTGGATGACACTTCCACTTTAGATCCTTTCCAGTCCGGCTTTCGCCCAGGCCATGGGATGGAGACGGCACTGGTCGCCCTCACGGATGACCTCTGGAGGCACCTGGATTAATTTAATGACCTGTTTTTACGTAAACCGCCCTGAGCCGGCTTCGGCCGGGGTAAAAAAATTTGAATAAATAAATAATAGGAAATCCCAGTATCCCACCCCCCCCACCTTCCTAACAACTGGCACTGAAAGGCATACTGCTGCTGTATATGGAGGCTCTACTGTAGTGTTTAGCTAGAGAGCCCTTGAGACATTGAGGTCACAGTGTGGGACTAAGATCTGGGAGACCCAAGTGCGAATCCCCACTCTGCCATGGAGGCCTGCCGGGTGTCCTTGGGCCACATATGGATTCTCAGCCTAACCTACCTCACAGGGCTGTTGCGAGAATAAAAAGGAGGTGAGGAGAATGATGTAAGCTACTTTGGGTTCTCACTGGGGAGAAAGGCAGGGTGTACATTAAGTCAATCAATTAATCAATCAATCGTGATTCACCCCCTGATAGAAGACCTGTCCACCCAGCAGTTCGAAAGCTTCGGCAAGTAGATAAAATGGGTACCACTCCTTAGAGAGGGTGGGCACACTAAACCCCCCCGGTGAGGGAGGTGTTAGCCGGTGAACAGAATGTCCAGCGTGTAAGACCGAAAAGCCTAGAAAGAACTCTTCGGCATCAAGGAAGCCTGTAATGGGCCGTCCGGCCAGGCGGTGGCAGTGCTGCGCTGCAACTTGAAGCAGTCCGGAGAAAGCTGACGACATCAAGCCACGCCGAGGGAAAAATGCCGCTGGGACACGTCTGACCTTACAGCTGAACAAACTCCCCGTCGGCTGCGAACGTGTGTGATTTAAAGATTATATGTGTCCTCCCTTACCCCTTGAATCTGTAAATCGCTCAGAGCCAGCAAGCTCTGCAGGATTGAGCAATTAATAAATTGAAAGATTATTATTATTATCTGTCCCCCTCTACAAACTGGTTAGTAGGCACTGAAAGACCTCTCCTCCATTTTAAAGCCGTATAAGCAAGTGGCCATCTCTGTATCCTGAGGTAAAAAAAATACAATCAATAAGCTGAGATGCTAAAGTCCACAGGGCAGGAATGTGTCAATTGAAAGGGCACAGTTTCAGAGTAGGACCTGAAAGACCCAGGTTCGAATGCTCCTGTAGCCATGTAAGCTTGCTGGATGACCTCGGCCTAGTTGTCCTCTCTCAGCCTGACAGGGTTGTTCTGTCAGGGCTAGTTCTTCTCTCACACAGGGTTGTTGTGAGGATCAAATAAGGAAGGGAGAACCAGCCAGTGTTCCCTCTAAGCTGAGTGAGTGTGAGCTAGCTCACAGTTTTTTTAGCCTCCGGCGCACACATTTTTGCCTTAGCTCAGGAAGGAGGGCTCCAAAGCAAACTGATTGATGCAGTAGCCAAACGGCTCGCTCACAACTTTAAGGCCAGTTAGCTCACAGAGTAGGATTTTTGCTCACAAGACTCCACAGCTTAGAGGGAGCGTTGGTGAGAACTTGAATGGGTGGCCGCCAAGGGAAGTCCAAGGCTGCTACGCAGAGGTCGACAACGGCAAACCTGTTTGTGTCTTGCCTTGAAAACCCAATGGGGTTGCCGTAAGTTGGCCACAACCTGACGGCACTTCACGCACGGGCACACACCCGGATGGTGCTACAGAGACAAATCCACCCCCCTTCCCCGCTAGCGCAGTAGAAGGAGTGACCTGGCACACCTCTTGTGGATCTTCTCCTCTGGATTCTCCGCGCAGAAGGCTTTCACCTCATAGTCGACACCACACGCCTAGGAAAGAGAAGCGAGCGGGACTCGTGGGAGATCGAGGGCGGTCGCAGAGAGCAGGAGGCCGCCAGTGACCATAATTCCCTTTTAATCTCTCGTCTTTAATTTTTTGTTTCCGGATCATTTTCAGCGTTTCAAATGGGATCCTTCCTCAGGAAATACCCTATACAGAGCAGTGTCAGCTATGCTGCCATGGAGGTTGGGGAGTTCATTTGGTGTCTTGCTAATTGCTACTACATTCCTTTCCCTGCTGTTATGCCTTTGCTGTAACGCTTATCTCTACAGATGTGCAGGAGGAGGTTGTGTAGTCTGGAGAGCTCCTATGTACCGTGAGAGACTCTTGGTTCTCAGCTTTAGCCACCTAACGCTTGCCTGAATTATCCCGCGGGCGGGAGTTTGCCTAATTGGCCAATGCCATGGGGTGTGTGTGTGCATACGAATACCCTATATCCTATTATGGTCTACTGGCTGTGGCCATTCTTAACAGTGCCTGTGTTACCGCATCTATAGCTCTGCAATAAAAGTATAACCGTTCCTGAATGTGTGTACTTCGTTGTTGGCTGTGGGTTCTGACAAGCAGTAGCCTCCGAGATTTTAAGATTATGTCTGTTTTTACAGCAAGAGCAATTAACCAATCAGTCAGGCAGTGTTCCCTCTAAGCTGAGTTAGTGTGAGCTAGCTCACAGTTCTTTAGCCTCCAGCTCACACATTTTTGTCTTTGCTCAGGAAGGAGGGCTCCAGAGCAAACTAATTTATGCAGTAGCCCAATCGCTCGCTCACAGCTTTAATGCCAGCAGCTCACAAAATAGAATTTTTGCTCACAAGACTCCACAGCTTAGAGGGAGCATTCCAGTCAGGCGCAGATTGCAAAACCAGTTTTCTTGGATCCAAACAAGATATTCATGTGATATTCACTTTGGGAAGGTTTTGAAATGTTGAGAATAATCCGGAAACGACGTCGAACAGGATTTTTCTTATAATACTGTACACTGTGTTCATTTCAAACAGACATTGAATACTGTATAAAAGACGCATTTCTAATAGACATTACACATTGCATATACAAGTTGTCTGACAGTTGATAGTTTGGGGTCTGAGGTTCACGGTTGTTTTTTGGTTTTGTTTGCAACTTTAGACCATGTTGGTCATTATTTAATTTAGTTTAATTTTACTGCTGACATTACAACGTGCGACAAATACTTGACCCAAACCAACCAACAGTACAGCTCTCCTATTCCAGCAGCCATAACTTTATCCTCAAAGGCTGCTATCACAGCCCTTCCTTTTAGCACAGAAAGACACAAAATTGTCGCTGGCCTGGATAAAGGAACCTCATTCGGGCTCCCCTGGGTCCCCCTCTGTTCAGAAGAAGAAGAGATTGGATTTATACCCCGCCCTTCACTACCCAAAGGAGTCTCAGAGCGGCTCACAATCTCCTTTTCCTTCCCTTCCCCCCCACAACAGACACCCTGTGAGGTAGGTGGGGCTGCGAGAGCTCTCTGGAGAACTGCTCCTGAGAGAACTTGTGACTGGCCCAAGGTCACACCAGCTGGCTGCATGTGGAGGAGTGGGGAATCAAACCCGGTTCTGGCAGATTAGAGTCCGCGCTCCTCACCACTGCACCGAACTGGCTCTCTCTACACCAGCATCATCCCGGAGTTCCATCAAACGTGCAACGGAGCGTTAACTGAACCACCCTCAAGGGTACTGAAGCCCATTGTTTGCTTTCCCCCCAGTGGTCAGCAGGGGGCGCCATTGTGTTTGTCAACTTTTTTTTTTTTAAAGAAAAAGGTTTCAGTTATTGCTAAGCAAGCTTCCGAAACAGGAACCCGGAGATTTGGAGGGGGGGGAGCCGAACAGCAAGATTTGAGTCCAATAGCACCTTAAAGTCCAACAAGAATTCCAGGGGAGGTTAGTATTTGGATGGGAGACACCCCCCAAGAAAGTCCAGGGTCGCCATGCAGAGGCAGGCAATGGCAAACCACCTCTACAGGGTCGCCATAAGTCAGCTATCGAGAGTCAAAAGGAGACCCATTCTCTTCAAACGACAGAGGCTGTTTCGGGAGAAACCCCCCATCCGCTCACCCCATCCACTCACCACCCATGTTTTACCTTTCCTGTGTCTTCGGGGCCGGGCTGAAGCGTCACGGAACAGGGGAGGCTGGGGGGGATCTGAAACGGAAAGGGAGCTGTGTCAGCGACAACCCTGCAGGGCAGGCCAACCGCCCCAAGGCCTCCTGGTCCGCACCAGCACCTGACTTCTTCATTAGGAATTCGCGGACCAACTGATCCCCCTTGCCTCATCAAAAGACGAGTGGGAGAGGACAGCCAAAAACAGTCAGTGCATGATAAACAAACAGCAGTGAACCAGAAAGGGGAAAAATTGACCCAACGGCACAAAATCAACAAGTCTTGTCTCAGGAGTAATAGGAAAGCAGCATCGCAAAACGGAAACCTCAACGGTAGCATAAAACCAGGCCAAGAGAAGAGGGAGTGAAAAGCGAAAACGGTTCAGAATGTGCAAAAGAGAACCAACAAGACAGTAAAAGTTAGGAGCAGGGCGGGAGGGAGGGATGGAGGGTGGAAGGAGGGAGGGAGGAAGGAAGGAAGGCAGAACGAAGGGAGGGAGAAAGGAAGGAAGGCAGAAGGAGGGGAGGGAGGGTGGTAGGGAGGAACGGAGTGAGGGAGGGAGGGAGGAAGGGAGGGAGGGAGGGAGGGAGGCGGGTACGCAGAT